TTATAGGTTTATTGAATTAGTTGCAGGAGCAAGTACTTAGTTATGATAACATTCTATAGGTGGAACTTCCAACCAGAAAAGAAAGGGGCCATTTTTCCAAAAATTCACTCTTGTGTTCATATATTGAGGACACCGTGTGTTTCAAGTAGACCCCATGTTGAAGAATATGTTCAGTACTAGCTGCCACTAGTGGTTCTGCTATTGGTCTTTAGCAGCAGCTGGTTGAGTACTGAGGAAGTCCTTGGATCTGTGACTCTCACATTAATTTTTATTGTAGAGCTGGCTTAGTTTAGGTAGATGTGCTTTATACATTTTTACTTTGCACCACAATAAGTGACTCTAAATAAATTTTAAGGGCATGTAGAAATTGTATGAGGAATCTCCACATACTACTTGTCAGCCCATTTCTCCTGCAATTTCCCCTCACTTTTAGTTGACTATAAGATTATGGGAAATGGTTTTGTGTAAATTTTCACATGCATTGTCATATGGAACACCTGCTTTGTTGTCTCTATCAGCACACAATTTTCTGATCCTTTTGGTTCTAGCTGAGAATTCAGTATCTACAGAGGTCTTGAGACCATGCCCACAATTTAAAACCATTATTTTGGCTCCGTGAATCCTGGTGCAACGTGTAAAGTGTGTCTTCCAATTGGATTCTATCAGTCATCATTGGTTTCTTCTAAAACTGCTGCTTTTCTTGTCTTACAGTTCCTGTTGAAAAAAAATATGGAGGCTGTCCAGGTCCCAGACTTTTCATAAACATCTTTTATATGAATCTTTTATGACTCTTCTCCACTGTCTGTTATCCTGAATAGTGAATGCAAAGACAGTCTCTCCAGATAGTGACTCACAGGAATGCAACATGCAATCCACACAAAAGAAATTTAATACCCTAGCAGCTAATTAAAAAAGCATTACCTTCCACCAGTGCTGACCTCCAGCCATGCAGAGGATAAAGATGGGTGTCTGTCAATCATGTTTACCTAACAAACCCTGGCACAATATTATGATGAATGGACAGATCTAAAAAAGGGTGATATTGCTCAGAACTCTAAGGTACTCTTAATACCACGTTTAAAGAAGCAGAAGGCCTCATCAGTAATTTGAAACCTCAGCCTGCATGCTAGGGATATACCAGGGCTAAATTTGCCGAGTACTACAGATACTAGACATGCAATATGTAGAAGGAGCATCCATGGGGATTTTGATACACAGCACCAGGGTGTTCAAACCATGATGGTACTTACAGACATCCTGATGCTGGCATGCACATATTTCCCATTCTTTCATCATTCTTTCATCATTCTTTCATCATTCCAACAACAGAGTAAACACTGAATTTTAATGGTTTTGTTGTATTTTGTTTGTTTGTTTCAATGCCAAAGAAATGTGATTGTTTAGGAACTTTGCAGCTGCTGAATGTTGAGTCACTCCCCATTTCTACATTAAGATAAATTCACCTGCCAATGTTTGCTGTAGAAATAGCATTCATCCATATTGTTCCTAGAGTACCTTTAATTCCTTTATCCCTCTGCCCAGGCATTTTTTTCTACACAGATTTGTATCATACAGATTGTCTCCCCAGTACTCTGGGATCACTTGGGCCAAAATTCCAACAATTCAGCCACAGAGGCCTTTGATACGTTGAGAAATTGTTTGAAAAATACAATAAAATTTAAATGTACTGTTTTATTTGAACCAGCTCCTGAATGTTGAGCAGGTAAGGTCCTAGTCACTTATATCTATTATGTCCATTATTCTATGCTAATTAGCTGGATAATGATAAAGACTGTGTTAAAATGTGATTTAACCTTGCTTCAAGTGAAAGCATGAGAAATAATCACTAGACTTTTGTTCTCATCGGACTTCTTTTCTCTGCACAAATGCATTCAGTCCACATGCAGGATAGCAAAAAGGAATCCTGCTGTCACTTACAGTGGGACAGAAAAAGTCAGGCATTTTGCAATGACTCTGCCTTGTTTTTGGATTTCCTCACCTGGCTTCCCTTCTACTGAACCTTCTACTTCCCTTCCCTTCTACTGAACTGGCTGAGTTCAGACTGGAAGGGAAAAAAACAAAAACAAAATAAAATAAAAAAAAAAAAAACACAGAATAATTGTCTTCATGATATTATGACACCAAAATACATGAGTCCAGGAGTGTGTGTTCAGGCAAGAACTATGCTCAGAAGGGACAGAGAAGGTGGGGAGCAGGAGCCTTCTCACAGTGCCCCTTCTTTCCCGGGTCCTGCCATGCATCCTTGGTCAGCTATGACCAACAGCTGTTAAACTTCTCCTGGAAAAATTCTCCTGGAAAAGTGTGAAAGTCCTCTCCTCTTTCCTCCCATTGAGCAGGGAGTTCATTTCAGTGTGTTTATACTCATGGGGAGGCCCCTGTAATTATTTTGTGCCTTAGTCTGTGGGATGGATACCTGGAACATAAAGTGAACAGCTGTAGCTGTTGTTCATGAAGTTAAATGCAGAGTATTAATGAGAAAGAGGCTCAATGGGAAATTAATCATATCCTGTGGATATGGACAGGACAGCAATTGGCCTCATATTACTCTTTCAGTGAAAATGACTAAGTCTTTCCAGCATATCCCTATGTTTTAAAGAATCATTTTATACATCTTTCTGGGTCTTTTTATTCCCTTTAATTAAGATCATTGTAACTGTGATAAAAGGCAGTACTCACTTCCATCACTACAGGTCTTCATGGTCAGGACCCTACAGTGGTAGGCTGGTATCTGAGAGCATGATGAATAGAGAAGAAGGACATGATCAACAGCGAGGAAGGACAAAGAAAAAGATAATGGTCTCACATGTAAAGCTGGCTTGCTGTAAGACTCAGTTCACCACCTGAAAGGGCAGGTGGTGACTTTCCAGGGCAATATGTTGCCCTTGCTGGGGGTCCTGGCCCTTCTGGGACTGTCTTCTGGGCGTGGTAGCAGCTGCCACCTCTGGAGGCTGATGGTCAATGGCAGCACGAGGGGAAGGTGCCGAGCCAGGGGTAACCAGACACTGCAGCAGACGGCGCAGGTGGTGCCTGAAGCCTGGAGGCAGGCAGATGGGCCACCAGTTCTCCCTGCAGTCACATAGCTCTCTGTTGCCTAAATTCAGTTGTTTTGCATGAGGTTTCCTATGTAAGAGCTGCCATCAGGATAAGTGTTTCTGGGAAGTGGCCGTAAAAACTATTCAGATTTTCTTTATGTGTTCTTAAGGCAGAATATGCAGTGTTTGAACCATGAAAAGATATTTTTATGGCCTTCACTTTGCACAGTATATTGCCCCACACTTCAGAATAAGGCTTTGAAATTTGGCAGAGAAGGCTCTTCCTCCCAGCAGTGTGCAATGCCTTTTGGTGTCCTCATGAAAATCTCCCCAAGTGATGCCAACTCGCAGACCTTTGACTCACTGCACTTTGCACATGCTCAGCTGCGAACTCCTGAATTTTCCCAGCAGCATTTCCAGAATATTCCAGTTGGTCCGCGCATGCTCCAGGACTCTGCAATTGCAGCTGTGGGTTCGTGTCTAAGGATACAGTTTCATGATCAGCATAATTTGATCTAACTGTGGGCTGCTACCCAAAAGGGATGGCCCCATTTTCTCTGGGATCCCCAACTGCATTTTCTGAACTCCCCCTTTGCACAGGACCTAGCAATTGTACAATTATGGAACAGCTTGTGGGGCTGACAAGAAATATTGCTTTTTTTGTTTGTTTTTGTTTTTGTTTTTTTTTCCTTCCCTCCATTTTTCAAGGTCAGTGCCAGTTCCAAGTATGTGAACCAAGGGCAATATGCCTGGCCCTGGTGTCCTCTCATTGACTGCCCTGTTGGGCACGCGCTGCACAGGAGAAGAGAGCTGTTCGCTGGGATGCAGTGAGGACACAGGCCAGAGCTGTGGAGCAGGGACTGGAAAAGCTCAGGAAGACACGTCAGAGGGAAAGTAGAAGAAGGGCTGGGACTGAAACTTGGGACAGGCAGACTTTGACTGTGTGGGAGGCAAGGAACACAGTGGTCCAGAATAAGTGATCTGGACACATTATTCACCTGTGTGAGAGGTGTCAGCACCACATCCTGTGGTCTCACCCATGCTGCCAGCCTCCTTTGTACAACAGGCACCATGCTGACCTCCAGCCAGTGAACATTACAAACACAGCCCAGGTGGCAATGCTAAGGGCAATTGTGTGAGATACCCTGGTGAAATGATGCATGAAAAGCTGGTGCTAAGAAAATGAGAGTGGTAAACTATGTCCGGGGTGCCAGGTCTGCAGACACCTGTCTAGTACATAAACCACGTGGGTACACAGTATCAGTATCATCAGTGTGTATGCAAGTACCTTGATGGCCAGCAGCAACTGGAAGGAATTCAAAAAGACTATTATTATTTCACCAGGATTTACTGGAAGAAAATGAGGTGCTTTACAGATATCATGACAAACAGGCCAAATATGAAGATCTTGCAAATAATAAGATATAACAAATAGGGGCATACCTCTGGCATCCTATGCAGGGCAAGAGGAGCGTCATTCATGGTACTGAAGGACCCACTGCTTCCCTGGTGCAGTGCGCCAGAGGTCAGTTGGATTTCTTGCCTTTAATGTCCATCGTCTGGGCAAGCCAAATAAAATGGGTTGCCTCTGTCTGAAATGGATCAGGGTGCATTAGTGCTGTCCCATGTGTTGGGAGGTGCACTGTGCGCCCAGCACCACTGCCTGATCAAAGTCTCAGGATAGCACGGAGGCTGGCGGATGCCACTCCTGCCATTTCCAGTGGGAAAGGAGAGAGGTCCTGAACCTTTGTTTTAATGGGGAGTTCTTAGCGGGGAAAAGCAGTGCTCTTCCTGCCAACTGCTTACTCAGTACTGTCAGTTGTGTTAAATTAAGATGGTTGCTTAATTCCTCTGTAACACTCATTTTTTTAAAACATAAATTTATCTATTCATCACAAGTTTTTATAGCAAATGACTCCCAGGGGAGAACTCTGATTTCCAGCAAAATGATTGAGAGAAGTAGATTTTAATTGTTTTCTGCATATACAAAAACACAGCCAGAGGGCAACAATGCACACAAATGCACAAAACCCAAAGGTGCTACAAGAAATACGGCTTTCAATATATTACATAATCCAATTCAGAGGAACTCTCTAAGTACAAAGGCTAGGCTGGTGTGATATGATTCCAGCATATGGATACAAAAGAAATGCTAAAAGAAATGGAATTAGGTAGCTTATTTATGTTCTCCTCTTCCTGGTGCATAGCATCGTTATCATTTTGTCAGGATCCCCTGACACTCCTGATGAAGTGTGAGCAGATTGACTGACCAAAGCAACAGACCAAATGAGCCTTTACTCTCTGATGTTCACGGACAGCTTGTGAAGCTTTCCAGTTGATGCCAAGATGTCCTCTGGGAATACCACAAAGAGTTCAGGAAACATTTTTTTCTTTCTTTCTTCCTTTTCCTCTTTCTTTACCATGATGTCTTATTTTGCAGTAGAAGGACTAAATCTCAAGTTTACATCAAGGGAAGTATAAAGCTGTGATAAGAGCAAGGGTTAAAAACAACAACAACCTTCAGAATTTTTCCAAATCTGACCTGTCATTAATAGCAGTGAAATTGGGACCATTCAAGTTCCATGGTTATTTTGGGAAGAAGGAAACAAGACACTTCAAAGGGTTAAATCCTTTGTCACAATACAGCTTGCCTCAGATCTACACTCTATTATAAATAAGACCTACTAAAATGCTATTTGGTGGCTCAACAAGATAATTATCATTATTATTGGATGATTGTATCCTCTGTAACAGTTCTCAATAATACGAAATGAAGAGACATTTATTGAATTTCAGCTGTATTTAGAAAAAGAATTTTCAAAAAAGGTGGTATGTTTTTAACCTTACCTTTGGGCTGTGAGTTCAGTGCTCATTGTTCATTTGTGGTCCATCAAAAGCAGATCTACTGAAAACAACTGCAAAAAGATACCACCAGCACTAAATACTGTCAGAGCTAAAAGGAATACACATACAATAGCCTTATGTCAAAACGTTGCACAGTATCTGGCACATTAACGAAAGTTTGTTTGTTTTGTTGTTGTTTTGTTTTGTTTGTTTTTGTTTTTGTTTTCAGTGAAGATGAGTCCCAAAGGATAAAAATCACTGAAGAAGATTGATCCAAGGTTGCTATATACGGGTGGAGAGAAAAAACTTTTTCTCTAACAGATCTTAACCTTGACGATGAAGGCATCATTTATTCATTTATTTATTTTAAAGCACCATGGTGACTTAATTTGCCAGCTGTTCATTTCCATCAGTTATTCATGAGTAAGGGCAAAGAAAACACTTTTCAGGAATGCTTCTCTGCCCAAATAACAAGCCATTATTCTAACTCAGAAGGTTCTTGGGAAGGACAGGGGAAAATTAACCCCTAAGTCTGTAAAATACCAGACAATGTGCACACAATGAAAACTGCTTCTCACATCCAAGATTTGCTGAGGTTGGGATTAAAGTGCCTTTTAGTCTGCTGAGCCCCCAAACCCTTCTCTCTGAATTTCTCCTGGAGTTAAGATTATTATTCCTATCTAGAAAATGTAAGCAGTTTTCCTTCCTCCTCTGCTTCTGGCACAAGTAATATTTAAGGGGAAATCTAGACTAATAAATCTTCACCACCATCTTCTCTTTCCAATTAAAATACTTTTTTTGGGGTGTCCTTGTCAATAAAACAAGTAACAAAATCCTTGTCAGTGCTTTGCGGATTTTTCTAAAGCTATATATAACTCCAGCAGCTAACAGAAATTGAAGACCTGATAAACCATTCTTTAAAGTAACTGCAGGACCTGTTGAGGAATGCTGTTATCTGTCCTTCAGAGTTACATCCTTGTCCCTTTTACCTGAAGGTTTTAAACAGATGAAACTGTACATCATTTCCATGCTTCATTACCTAAGGTTGCTCTCTACAGTCCCATTTGACTTGGTGGCTCTCAGAGACCAAGAGGACATCTGCCCCTCATGAGGACCGGGAAGTGGGGAGAAGGAGATGGTCGACAGTTCCTGAAGGTTGGTACTGGGTCCCTGCTGCCCACCTGAGGCCAGAACCTGCAACAGGACTCCCACCACCCCAACCAACCTGCCTTGGCAGCCTTTGTGCCTCTGCCCTTCAGGAATGTGGTCTGAGCTGGAGCTGTTTTAATCATTCATATCACTGTAGGCACATTTGGGACACATAAAGCAGTCCAAAGCTACAGCAAATTTCCAGTCCCAGCTACAGCATTTTGCATTGTGATTCAGGATGGTGCTTGTCCCAGGGGATGATGTAGAACTCATGTACCAGGACAGACCTGCTGAGAAGCCCAAGCCTTTTGTCCTCCCAGTCCCACAGTGACAGTAAATCAGATGTTCATTATTTTATTCTGCAGAAGAGCAGGTCCTGGCCACTCATTCACAAGAATGCTGCGAGTCCTTGCAGTGTGAGCGAACCCACCTTCCTCCGTCATCTGGCACTCCAGACCAGTGGTAGTTTGGTCTCATACACGCAAGGAAGGCTGTATGAGAAGTTTATCTGCTGCACCTGTTAGAAAAAAGTCCTGAAGGCAAGCAAAGATGTTGGAACGATCCCTCATGTCACATGCAGTGGCACTTCAGGAATGACTTCATATGCCAGCCAGACTCCAGCTTCCCTGATTCCTCAGAGTCTTGTCATGGCTTGCATACACAGTGTGGCACCAAGCATAAAAAACTGGAGACCACTGATCAACCTGTTCTAGTGTGCAGATTAAGGCATTGTATATAAACTTGTTTTCTCTTGGTAGTCTTGGCTTACTTATTCACTTGTTTATCTGGGACTTGTTCCATTCCCTCCGTAGTCCTTCTTGACATCTTCGCTATGTTTTTGGTCAACTTGACAGAGTTATGGGTGTATTGAAAATGCTATTTATGGTTAGACAGAAGCCTATATTTGTGGGTGGGGTGTGTGGGTGAGAACACCTAGGCAGCACACAGCTTTCCTACATTAAGGGAAAAAAAAAAAAAAAAAGAGAGAGAGAATAAGTGACTCCAGGGCTTCCTGGAGCTACAGGCAGGCTGGGCACCTGCAAGCATGAGTAGCAGATTATTTCCCACTCTGGCATTGCTAATCCCTGCTTCTGCCCACACTAAGGAAAGGAAGAGCAGCCTGCCAGGTTTGCTTGTGATTCATACAGTGATTTAGGTAGCTTTCACAGGCAAGGAAGGGAGCAGAGATCCCTTATTCCATTCCAAGGCATTTTTAACGTATTATCTTCCGCGTAGTTTCTGTAGGCAATTGGCCTTCAACCTAAAATGCATTTTATAGTATTGAAATCCAGCTCTCCATTTTTCTCTAAAACCTTTTCGTAAGCTGTGCTAGAGTGATAGCCTTAAATATGTGTATCGGCACAAAGTACACCATTGCAGCTTGGGGTAAATCCCCTCCTCCATGTTCCTTGCCCAGAGCAATTGTAATGCCCTGCAAAGACCCTTGTGGCTTACTTCCAGTGGAAAGGGCTGTGCATTTATAGCCACTTGTCTGGAAGCCAAACTATCTGGAAATACACAAGTAAAACTTGGGATTAGGAAATTAAAGGCATCTAACAATGGTAAAACAAGGTCTAGCACAAGAGACTAATAGGAAGATGAACTAGCTCAGCCATCAGGTAACTGTGCTGAATGTGCTGAAATGAAGGCCGATTCATGTTCTATGGGTAACTCGGACTAAGGACAAGCAGTGGGGATGTGAGTCCAAGGCAATGCCAGTGTAGCAGGAGGCTCTTGGGGAAACACAGCAAGGCCAGAAGCTTGAGGACACAACAAGTGGTTTGACTGACAGCTGCTCCATGTGGTCGTGTAAAGAGAAGCAAAGCATGTGAACAACAGAGAAGCTCAGCAGGAAAGGATCCAACAGATGAAGGCAGCAGCAAATGTGAAGCAAATCCCAACCAAAGTAAATAGTACAAAGAATGGGAGAGATTGGCCTAAAGACCAGAAAGCGTGGTGACCGTGATATTAACAGGCTGCATTAGGACAGCAGTAAAAACTTGTCCCAGTAAAGAACTGTGCCCTAATGACCTCCTCCTGTCCCACAAATCAGAAAATGCTGGCTCGTAATACAAAACAACAATGAAAACAGGTAACACAGAAAATATAGGAATCTGCATGACATTTCAAAGGAGGATCGTGACTTGCCAGAAGGAAGAGCCTGAAGGAGGTTGGAAAAAGTCAGTCTGAACATGCATAAAGTGCCAGCAACACACACACCATCTCTGCAAATAATTTTCCTAATAAGAAGAGAAGCTATTTTTAGAAACTAGGAGCCTTCTTATTTTGTTATCTAGAATTTAGTTACTGAAATGGTATCACATAATATATACACAAAACCTGCTTTGACACACCCTTGTTACTTGTCTATGTGTATCTGTCACAAAAAGTTAACATTTCATAATTTAAGTATATCCCCTCCAGGCATTATTTGTGTTATCCACCCACATGACAGCTGCAAGGGATTTTCGTTGCAGTGACAGCCACAAAGCAAGGATGTGCAGAAGGGTTTGACACAACTCCATTCATTTCTGATCACTCTGGCTGCTTGCTGATTTGTGAGTAATGCAAATGTTTTTCTTGGTAGGCTGAGCTCAACAAGAAAATAACTGGGTTTCCCTGGTGGACATGGAATTTTCTGGCTTTGAATTCTGATGTTGCACCTCTTCTATAGCACAGAATTTTGTAATTTAGACAAAAGTATTTCTCAGTCATGAAGAAAGCTGACTTTATGAGTTTGTAATTAACATTACATTAGAGAGCATGAATAAATATTTGTACCTAGATATGGCCTAGATATCGGTAGGTATATCTTTAGAATAATGCAAATGATATCTATAATAAAAATCACTGTAAAGATAGAACACCATCACAGTAATGACAAAGTGTTAACATACTATGTATCATCCATCTAGTACTCAGACGGAAGTTTTGCATATACCAACCTGCTACACACTGGCAACCAGGTTTTGAGTCTAATATCAATAATTAGCTACTTTCTAGAAACTCTTTTTTTCTCCGTTAGAATTTCTTTGCTGCCTGACCTCTTAGTGAGAAGTACAGAAGTAATGCACCTAGAGTAACAGCAAACATAAAATGAAAAACAAGTTTGAATGCCACCAACAAAAGAACAAACTGTTAGAGTAATCAGAAGAGGATGCAGCTCTAGTCTGAAAGAGACTGTGGCCATGATGGATCACATTATTAAAGCACTCACAATATTAGCCTACACTGTTGGCGGAGGGGAGGAAATGCTAAAACAGTCAATCTACATTTGGCATTGTTTTTCTCCCCTTCAGCAAATTGCTACATTGCATCAGAAAGCTGGACAGTGCAATGCATGGACAAAACACCGTGCATGCTGACCATCTTTATTTGCTTTAAAGCCATGTGCACTAGTCTACCAGATGGAAAGAAAAGTCATTGCAATTATCATATCCATTCGTCCCTCCCAAATCCCTTCTTCCTGAATTATGCCATTCTCAATGGCAGGTGGCATACTGAAGACTTCATGAGAGAAAGGTTTTTGCATTTTCCTTATGAAAGCATGAAAGGATCCTGAGCAGACTATGGCCAGGAACTGGTTAAAACTCCACCGTCAATGATGATAGAACCATCACAGAATCATAGAATAGCTTGGATTGGAAGGGGCCTTAAAAAACATGATCACCATTCTCCTGCTACCAGGTGGGAGGGTGGACAAGAACCAGGTGCTCTAGAAATGCCAATAAGCCTCTTTAGTCATTCACTGACTGAAGATCTGGGTACCTACCTACTGGGAGAGGCAGTGGCAGTGCAGAGGAGAGCTGAGGACTAGTGTTTTTGTCAAATTCAATTTAAACCCGTGAACATATCTGGGAAGGAGCTGAAGAAAAAAAATCCATCTCTTTTGGACTTACCAGAATTTTGTCTATTAGAGTTGGTGATCAAGAACATTTGTCCTAAAGCTCAGTATTGTAGTTACTCATATGTCACAAGTGCTATAGTGTAATTCAGGCTTCATTATTTAGACCACCTCTGAACTGAGCAATGAAGAGCTCATCTCCTGGCCCCTTGTCACCACAATCTGTAATAGGCATCCATGGGGAGTAACGATTAGATTCTGAGGAGTGTCCATGCAATCTGGGACTGTGGAGGACTGAAAATCCTCCCCTACACCACTCATTGCAAACTCTCTGGCTTCCCAAAGGAATGAATTCCCCAACGTGTCTCTGTCCATACTGAAAAAGAGACAGAAACATGAAAATGCCCTCTTTAGGAAGGTAACCTTAGAAGAATGAGGGTGGCAATCAAGCAGTGAGTCCTGAAATCCCTGACAAAGAAATTCCTGTAAACTTCTGCCTTGTTTTCCCCCTTGCTAGGCTTGTCTTTTCCCTGGTTTTGAAGGATTAAGTCAGTGATTGTGGTGGACTTTTTAGGATGCTTTAAGTGTTAATCATTAACTGAATTGGCAGTCTGGGGCTAATCACAGTGGCTGCCCTATTCAGCAGATAGTAATTTTGATATTTCAGAGACAACCTTAAAAGACACGCTATAAATTGTTTAGCTATCACCATGGTTGTCCACACTGTTTAAAGATCCATTATAACTGTTTCCATGCATCTTCCAGACTGTAAAAATTTCCTGTTTAATGAACAAAGTGCTAATAGCACAGACAGATACTGGATGCTCAGTTTGAGTTCCCTTAGTATTTGTGGCAGCCCTATCCTGGGCTAAACTTGCCTATTTCTGTCAGAGAGGAACAGAACACAACAGAGACTGTATTCCTTCTTACTCTTTAGTTTTGAAATTTGCTCAAAATTTCTCCCTCACATTTTTATTCCTGTTCTAAAACTGGCTTGAACGAGCCACTATTTTATTTTATTTTATTTTATTTTATTTTATTTTATTTTATTTTATTTTATTTTATTTATTTTTGGTAAGAAAAGCAGAATCCCCTGAGCTGGTGAAGTGAGAGGTGTGCAGGATGAGGATGTACCTGGATCAAACTTTCTTCCATTGTTCAGCTCATCCTCACAGGCTTTCTTGAGAAGCATCTTTTAATGTCCTGCCCCCAGGTAGCTTTTCAGCACATCAGCTCTTCTGTGCTGGTAGTGCTTCCTAACATCTGTTTCATATTTGTTGCTCCTTTGTTTCTATTTATGTCCCTTCTCAACCATTATTGTTTTAGGCCAAAAATATTAAATTGTACAGAAAATGTCCAGATAGACTAAGACTGGTATATGCGTGAGGTAAATTTTATTTTAATTGTTGTTCTCTATCATATTAAGCACAGGACGTTCAGCTGCCCTGTTGACAGGAGAGAGAAGATTTTTATCTGTCTTCATTTAATAAAGCAAAATCTGTAGAGAGGCTCAGTCTATTACAGACCAGCTAATGCAGCCAGAAAAACACAACAAGATTTTGAGCTCAGAGCCCTCATCACGTCACACTTCTACCATCAAATCAGCACTACTACAGCAAAATGAACTGATTTAGAAATGAAGTAATTTCTTATTGTAATGACTCTTTTGATTACTGCAGTTCTTGAAAGACAGTGCCGTGGGAACTACACTTTAAGGAGGTCCTGGTACACATCTTTGGATCTGGTTTTTAGATTACACTGGGTCTGCCATTAATGCAGGCTGATCAATGAGTGCCTAGATGCTAAATGAAAATGATGAAATTTTTCTTGGCTCCTCATAATTAGCAACAACAGAATTATTTTGCAATGCAATAGAAAAAAAAAAAAAAAAAGCTGGGAATGGAAGGGCTCAGTTGTTGCAGTTTAGAGAAGCAATTCAGTCAGTGCAAAATGACACCTTAATCTTAACCCAGTGTAGTAAACAATTAAATCATAAAAATGTGGATACTATACCAAACAGATAAACAAGTAGTCATTGTCCAAAACAATATAAGTAGTGCAAAGCAAGACAGCAAAATAAATACATGTGTATCATTAACAGATCTCTTA